GTTTCATTATAATTAACTTCTTGAATAATAATTCAAATTAATTTACATCTTTGTATCTTTTTTCATTCAAAGGAATATATAATTTTACATAAAATCATTCTTACAATAAATCATACAATGTCATTAACTTCGTAATTTAATAATAATGTTTTATAATGTTTAGCATGGCACAAAGCAACAACTTTAGTGCCAGTAAGATCTGTGGCTGTAGATATAGGTCAGAACTTGACATTAGCATGTGCAGAAGAAGATGCACTGCCACAGGCAGGAGAATCTGTTGGAGTGATGTGGATAAGGGAGGGACGGGAAGATGGACAAATTGAAAGACTAAAAGTTGAGCCTAATGGAGCTTTACAACTTATTAATGTTAGTGCGGATGATGCTGGGAATTATTCATGCACCTTAGATGATGATCATGATGCTGTCAAAACTAGAATCAATGTACAAGTTAAAAGTAAGTTACTTAAATTTACATATAATTTTCAAGCAATTGCACATCAAAAAATATTTTATTTTTATTATATTCTCAGCTCCTCCTCCAGCTTTACACAATGTATGGGTCAAACCATCAACAATATTGGCAAATATTCTTTGGGAAGTAGCTGACACAGGTGGTTATCCTATCATAGATTTCACTGCCGAATATCGTCTTAAACCGAATGCAGGTGAAGAACCAGAAGACTGGAAGCCTATTGTTCCAACGCACATTCCTCCAAATTCTGTAAATAGTTTTTCTTTTAATCATTTTTATACCACCACTATTGTATTGCTATTGAAACTGATAATTTTACAGAGGCAAATTGATGTGTATCACTTGGTGCCAAACACTACTTATTCATTTCGTGTCTGGGCAACAAATCAACTGGGAAAAGGGGAAATTGTTGAAGTTGAAGGTCATACTCATCACAGTATTGAAGAATTAGGTATATAATTCAAATTTAATAACATTATATGATCCTGCATGTAAACAAATTAATATTTATATAAATTAAACACTAGCTTATTAATTATAATTGACAATTTCAGAACTTGCAAGACATCTCTTAGCAGGTGTAGAAAATTTTGACACTCGTGTCTGGGTGGCAGCAGTAGGCATAGTTATGGGTACACTTATGATTCTTGGTATAGGTACTTGTTACCTCCTCTATCGTGAGTGCAAAGTACCCTGTAAGCATTTCCTGGTAACTTTATCTAAAAGCTTTTGCTTCTACTCTTTCTCTTTCATGCTATTTATTTCTGCTGATGAAACTTATTTCTTCCCTATGCAAATAAATTAAAGTAAAATATGCTAGAGCGTTTAAGTTTGAAAAATATAACATAATTATCTAGAGGACAAAATCTGCAGCAGAAACGATAGCATCACTAACCACTTAACTTATCTATGGCCCTGATCTCTAGCTTTCTTTACGTCAGCTATTTTCCTTTCAATCAATTTAGTGCTATTCTAATACAGTGCCAATTATCTTTCACTAATATTTCCCTACTGCAAGCGCTCTGCAAATTAGCATTTAACGAATTTTCTAGCGTTTAACTTTTAAAATTTACTAGCATTTAATAAATCTTATTAATACCGATTTAACAATAACACTTTTATAACTTTTGCACAAAACACTTTACAACATAAGGCACTAAAATAATCTGTAACATATTTGTATCTTTCTATACAGTTTGCCTGTCAGTAGCACCTTTCTTACTCCTTATAGGAATGAAACCTATAACTTATGAATGAACTTTATCAACCACCAAACTTACTCTGTCTATATAAAGAAATTTTTATTTTACTTTTTCATCTGACTTTGTTTTAAATTAATAAACTTTGGTGGTTTGTATAAAATTTGTTATGCAGAATGATTAGTGTCATGAATAGAAAGTATTGTGATAGTAATATAATAGAGCATTATGGCCTAGATAATATTATGTGCTATTAGTACATTTTTGATTGTATAAAATTTAGGTCAAAGTTAGCACAAATATATTTGCTGGGTAAGCAATACATTTAACAAGTGAAAGAAATCTTAATATGTCTTCATTGATTTATTGTATATATAAATTTTAAATTAAACGTAGAATATTTGATTGTTAATATAATTTGTTAATTCTAAAATATCCATGGCCCAGCAAACACTGGTAAAGGGAGAGGGTAGAAGCTAATATAACTCGTGGCCCAGGCCAATGAAAATTAATCTCCGTTCCCAAATTGCAGCGCAGCTGGAGGAGCAGGAAGTGATTGAACTTGTACCTAATATCATTCTGAATCCAGGATTTTTCGACGAAAGAACAGAACACATTCCACAAGATGAAAATTTCAATAATCAGACCACTACACGCTTAAACAATAATAGCGTTGTGCAACCCATGCGACTTTAGCAATTAACTATTTAGATTTCTGTGGCTAATTTTTATGAACAAGTGGCTTGAGCACACATTTATGTGTCACCTTAAACGTAAGTAACTGGAATTACAAGAGGCCTCAAATTCGCCAAGTATCGCAATGCATAGAATCAGAGGCGATGAAGATTATAATCATCGCGAAAATGGAAATTTATGTTTATAGACAGAAAATTGAGAAATGCATCATACATTCCGAATATTCTAAGGAAATAAATTTTTCACTTACAATGTAAAGTGTTCAAAGCATATGTAAGACTCTGCTAGGTTTTGTGAAATCGAGTAGCACATTTTTGAGAATATTTACCAGGATGTTCTAACAATTAAAATTCGATGTTGTTGCTCAGTTATCGAGCTTAAAGTCAAGAACTCCTGTAAGCGGAAAAAAGAATATTCTTAGTAAGACTGTAATTCTAAGAACAAAAGACAAAATTTTGAAGAAACTGAAATCATACATTATTATTAAGCGGCAAATATTTGTCTTAGGTTCTGCATGAACACATGTTTTTTACGCAATTATTTTTAATCATTATTATTGAACAGAAATGAGATTTTAACGGACAATATCATGCAGAAAATAAGACTTTTGCCAATAACATACATCATCAGATTTTGTCAAACACGAGGTATGATAAAGGCTTGCTTACTGCCGTTTTAAGGTGTGCAGAAGTCGTTGGTAAAAAAGTTCCTTTTTTGTGTCTTTATAAAAATTATTGTTTTTTTATTTATTGTTATAAGAATGCACTTATTTTTTTAGAAAATATTTTGGTAATGCTTTCTTCCAAAGAAATTAACGTAATAGAAGTCAATGCACCACATGCTCTTTCTGGAAAAATCCTGTGAATCAGAGAGTGTACAAACCATAGTATTCTAATTATAAAACTAATTCTACTCTGTTAATGTTATTTCTAGTAATATTATATTCTTCATTTTTAACTTTGCATGTAATCATTCAAATATGTCTAATGCTTCAATATGCTTTTGCACTACCTTAATAACAAATGCAATATTCACTGCTATTGAATTATAAAAAGCTATGAAATCAGATTTCATCGAAAATAAATATGAAATAGCACAATTTAATGAACAATGAGTTTCCGTACGTGAATTTTCTAGAAAAATAAAAAAATATAAATATTTATTGAATTTTCATAATATTCAGCACATAAAAATTATTCATAATCATCACGGATTTGGTTAAATTCATTCCATTTAGATTAGTGATAAATATAGAACAAGAGTAGAATAAGTTAAAATATTTTGGATATCACCTTTGATAGAATCAAGTTTGATAATCGATCGTTAAAACAGATCTTTTCCAGATATTCATTTTTAAATATCGTCTCAAATTGCATATAAAATTTAACTTAGTCAATCAATAAAGGTTGATGGTTTTGATAAAAGTTCTTCCTGTACAAACAAATATATAGTTATTTTCCACAATTTACACGTAGTATCATATCAGAATTTGTCATGTAAAATACATTATCAAGATTGTAATAGTGAGTGCTTAGTGTTGAGGCTTTCCTTAGGAAAAAATAAAGAAACAAAACACGTTTATTTTTACATTAATTTTGAATTTTTTGGATGAAACGTTTCTCAGGAAAGAAACCAATATATTCATTTATTTTTATTATATTTTGTTAATTATTTTGGTTAGGGCACCTTAAGTAATGAATATGGAAATGGTTGTGGAAATTGATTCTCGTGTATTAGTCTTTCATTGTTCAGTGTTACTAGTAAAGCTCATAACGTAAGAAACATAATACCTTAATGATTCTACTTAAAACAATTATATAAGTTAAATATTGCTTTTGTCAATATAAAAATCTGACAAGAAGCAATTTGGTGCACGCAGGTTGTATAAATATTGGTTGTGCGTTGTTACATTGAAGCTTTATGATCTGTTCTTCCCTACAGTGTAATCTTATAGGGGTGAACAGATTCAATTCGGCTTCGTACTATGCACTCTGTGTTGTGAATGGTATATATATGCGCTAATGAAAAAATAATATGATAACAATAATGATAACAATATAAATATATATATATATATATACATACATATATATTTATATAGCCGAGGCATCATAATATTTTAGCTATAAGCAAAGACAATTTTTTATATAAATAATAATAATGCTGAATTGCAATGATGAATATTTATCTACATATTCATATAGATAATTTTGTGCTATAATATCGAGCTTCAAGAGTGATCAAGTAGATTTGCTCATTAAGAATATTTCATGTAGAATATCATGTTCCTCATTCCATTTACAAGAGTCGTGTTTTTTCATCTTCTTCTCAAAGATTGTATAAAACAACTTTCATTTTTACAAGTAGAATACTTTTGAAGACTATTAATAATACATCTTAATAACTGCAATAACTTTTTCCATAAGACTAACGTTTTTTTTCTTCTTTTTTAATAATTCAACAATAATATATCATATTACTTTAAAATACGACTCTTCATATGTCATGCACATTCAAATAAAACTATAATCACTTGTTTCTGCTGACATGTATAACAATAGGTGTATTGTAATTTAAATATGTAACTGTCTCTATCAAAGCTGTCTGGTGAAAGCATAGGTTTTGCATTTAGCGGCATTAATAATATTATGAAGCCTGAAAAAAGAAGTATAAATGTTACTTGATATATGAAATGAAAAATTATTCTTATAACTATCAGCTGCTATGAAAACTAATGATAAAATTTAGTCTTCTGGGTTTAGAATTCTGCCATTGTATACCATTAAAAGATTCGCATATCTACCTATGCAATATAGGACATTCATAAAATAACTTCGATTATATTAGGAGTACAATCAATAAAATAATATCATTAAGATCAAGAGTAAATAATAAGATAATCATGGTTCTTTTTTTTTCAATAAGATAATCAATATTTTCTTAATATCGTGTAAAATACTTGTTTTCTTGAAACGAAATATTTCGAATTTTGATTACAGTACAATATTAAATCAAAACCTCATTGTTAATTTCTGTAACTTTTGTAAGCCAATGTTTTTATCTTCCTATACCAAGAAATTATCAGATATTATAATGATGCAAAATAGATATATTTTTATGAGGTAGAGCATTGTAAACTTAAATCTATGACAACAATGATGATGGCAGATATTTTATGTTCATATCATATTGTTAATCTGTTAAGTTTAATTCAGTTTGCTTTTCCTTCCATCTAATATTTTCTTTCATTTAATTTTCTTTTACATTGATAATCATACATCATTCAAATACAAAAGCTATTAAGCACAACAATGATGTGCATAGCATTTATTATTATACCTTTATAATTAAATGTATTACATTAATATATTTACTTCACATAACACATTCATGTGAAATATATATTAAGTAAAGCACAATACCATAGAATAGTATAATGGTTGCTGGTGGCACCATAAATCGTCCCTAACATACATATTGCTTGCCTATGACATACCAGAAGAGAAAAAAATTTTATGTGGTTTTTACAAAAAGCTTTAAATTGGTACTACTTTTCAAATAAAAAACTGATTTTGCCATATGAAATTTTACATAACATATATATTTACAAATATTTGTAAATATACAAATATTTCTAAATTCTTTACTTTTTGTAAAAACTACATATCTGTCGTGTCATTATCTATTAGATTAATAATATTAGTTTAACATCCTTACATTAAGTGATGGTGAAAGAGATTTATAATGATATCTCCATAAATATTATAGCAAATAAGTATTACTCTCGCCAAGATATTCAGTTATATATGTATTAGCTGCAGTTATGTATTAGTTTTTAGTGATTTCTTTATATAATTATTTATTTTGTAAAAAAAAAGGCAAAAAGCACAAAAATATGTTAGTACCGAAATTTGTATATAGTATATACATTATTGTTTTGTTTCCATATTTTGTATAAATTGTTAAATATGCACGCTTGATTATATTAATTTACCTTATTTATGTTAAATATCGTATCAGATTAAAAAATCTAATAATACTCCATATGTGTGTGCATAAAAAATTGTTCACGTTGAATCGGCGTTATTTTAGTTTTAATTTATTGTATGAATTCATTTTATTATCATTGTACACCGTTATAATGTGTAGAAAAATGTTTTCCTAATATTGACATGTTCATAGTTTATTTTATAGACTATGAACAGTGCACATTTCATCACGTACAAATACTATATTTGAGAAAGAGAAAAATATGAAAATGTATCATGCTTCGGTTAAAAATTGTTTAAGTATTTTTGTGGAAAAAATAAAGAAAGTCAAGGTTGTGCTTGAATGGTTGATACTATCATTAACTAGTATTTAGCTTTCATACTACACTCAGAAGACAAACATTAGTTACATATCAAAGAAGATAGAACAAATTAGTTTAGTCACTTTTTTCATTTACATACCAATTGCAATCATCAAATATCAACTATTAGCTGCTATATGTATTACGTTAAATTTTATAACAGCTTTTAAGATTTTTTACAGAAACATTAAGATATAAGTTATAACACTAAGTTCATGAAAACAATTTCATTTTCTCATCTTACTATCTATCAAACTATGATTTATTCATTGAATGACTGTACATTATTAAGTTGCAATCGGAATGATGCAAATAGTATGAAAAGTTAAGTACATTTCTTTTAAGAGTATTCATTAATTGTAGCATTTTATGCATTTTCATTGTATTTATAAAGCACTATACACGACCAGCATAATGTATGTACTACATATAGTTCTAATTCTACATTTTTATCAAAATGGTTGTCATTATAATCATCATATTTCATATAAGAAATCATACAGATTTATTTATAAAACTCAGTACAGATATTGGTACAATAAATAAAATCATTCATAACATTTGTTATTTCTTTTATTATAATTAATCTACATTACCAGATTGAGTTAAAAGCAAGGTTTTCTCAATATCTGAGCATAATTTCTTAATACCACTAAGTGGAGCATATTCTGCTGTCAGAATAGCAGTTGCTATTGCTATTGTTTCTTGGATAGTTCTTGCTTTGACCCAAACTCTACCATTCATACCAGCTGCAACTTCAAATGCTTGACTACGTGCAAGCATATTGAACAAGGGGGAATTGCGATTCAATATTTTTCTGATGAGACTCAAAGAACAAGTAAAAAGCATGCCCTCAGAGCTTAAAATACCTAATTTCTTTTCTTTACCATGAGAATCTACACATACAAGTTCTGGTTCCATATCTTTACTAGCAACTAAAAGCTTGGCAAACACAAGGTCTCCAACTTGAATGTCAGGACGGTTTTTCTTCGTAGCTCCTTCAAATGCTAGATATGAAAGAGATGCTTGTTCACTGGCACCTATATCTACTTTAAAAATATCACCACCTTTCTGTGTTACTATGCCAACTACATGTTCTCCACGATTTGGTACATAACTGTAAAAAACAAATATAATGTATAGAGATTTTATTTAAAAAAATGTTAGATTACTTTAAAATAGAATTACCGTTTCTGATAACTATCTACATAATATACAGCTGGTTCTGTTTTTCTTAGTACACCTGCTTTGTATGCATATACTGTATCAGCTTCGCGACGAAGTCCAGGTCCTAAAATGATTGTTTCTTTTTTGGTAATTGTTGTTATATTTTTTACAGTATCACCAGGCATTACTACATCTCCTACGCTAACTTCCATTGCTTCTTAGAAGTAAGTAATCTCTCATCAGTTTTTGTGTTGCAATATAAATTCAATATTATTGTAGGTTATAAACATATCATTTATTGATATCTTTCATTACAGAGTAATCAAGAGTCAATGAAATTATTTATAAACGTATGTATTGCTTTTCATTAAAGTAATTACAAACATACATGATTATATTTACAAACATTTGATTATATTTTATTGTACCACGTGCGTTACTTCACATGACAAGCTTAATGTTTTCTGCTACTTTCGCGCATTTGTTCGAACGACGAAGCGACTGCGCAATACAATTTACATAAATTGTTGCAATCAATTATGCAAGAATTGTCATCGATATTGTAAATGTACCAATGTAGAAAATAAATGTTATTTTATCTTTAAATCCGAAGCCGTTCAACTTAGTGTAAAAAAATACTGTTTAAATCAAATTGCGAAGTGTACAACGTAATTTTCTTGTTTCTACGCCTATGTCTCCGCAGTGACGCCACCATACGGCACGTTGCAAGGCTGCCGCGTGAAATGGTAACGCCACAGAAATCACGGTGCTAGTTGTGTTTTTTCACGAATTGGTTTCATTTTGAGACGAGTTTAAAAATCAACAGTTACGTGGATGGCACAACAAGATCGTCAGTGGTATCACTAATGTAAAGGTAATGTTACTCGACAACGCAGAGTAAATGTTCGTGAAATTTGCGCAACGTTCACCGGATCGATAATTGATTTACGTTCGTTCTATTCTAACCTACCGTTCTTTCCAAAGTTATTAGTTTAATCATGTCATACTGTCGATCGATTCGCCGCGATTTGATTAAGATTTCATACTGATTTCACACACTTGGAAGAATTCCATTAATATATTTTGCTCTTTCACTAAAAATGATCTTTAGTCAGTTTTTTAAATTCTTAATCAGTATGCTTATTGTACATTTACTGTCATTCATTATTAAGATACATATTAATCTGTATTAAGTATAGAAATATTCTCATCCTAGAAATCAATAAGAAGTCAATAAGAATATATATACATGTAATGTCATTCTTTTAAGATTTTTGTTAAATGAAGTTTCGCTTTAAAAATTTTTAGTTTAATATAACAAATATGAATGAACATATTTAATTATCCAAATGCAATTATTACATTACTTATATAATATTTTTAATACTTTGTTTATATATATTCATTTCTATTAAATATGGACTTGCTTTTTAATATTTGCATATATTAATAAATTATACTTTAGAGCATTTTTATATTTTGTGGTTACAGGTATAGTGCAAAATGTACAATGGAATTGGATTACAAACACCGCGGGGTTCTGGAACTAATGGTCATGTCCAAAGAAATTGGGCAATTGTACGCAAAACAAAAGACAAAGTTACTTATAAGACAGATGAAGGAAAATTAGATCAACTAAATAAACAACCTAATAAAGATATTCTTGACCATGTTAGAAAAAGAAAAGTTGAAGTCAAATGTGCAGAATTAGCAGATATTTTAGAGGAACAAGGGTAAGTACATATATTTATCCCAATATTATTCTTATAATAATATTATACATAAATCTGTCTATTATTGTAATGTCATAATAGTATTAAATGAATATTTGTTAAAAATAAATTAAAAAATCACGTACACATTGTGTATGGAAGAAATACGAAGCTTCATTGATCCTTTGAACCCAATACCAAATGAGATTCTGAACTTCAATTGGATTTAGCTTATCGTTGGCTTCAACATATTCTTTCTATGCAGTGCATTTCTTGACTAGCCCGCTAACTATAATTGTATAAATGCTAGTATTCTTTATTTGCTTTTTTACTGTGCTTTATAGATTTACATCTGAGGAAGTAACAAAGAAAGTAGAATCATACAGATCCATGTTAATGGGAACTGACACCAAACCAGTAATATCTAGAGATGAATTTGGCCGTGTAAAGTAAGTATATATTCTTTCATTTATTTATTTCCTACATCCTGATATAATAACTGTACTATATCGAAAGTAATTAAAACTCTAAAATAAATAAACAGAGGAAATGCGCTGTGTTTCTTAAACAATATTCTAGGAACAACTTTATATTATAAAATTACATGCAAATAATGTTACATGATAAATGGCAAGCAACATCAGATTTTCTTTATTTCAAGGATATATCCTTTATTATCTCTTATTTACAAAATTACAAATATAATTCAAAATTACAAACGCAATTGCAATCTAAACTTCCGCATATAACTAGTATTTATTTCAAATTCGTTTCAAAACACGCGGACTGCAAAATTCGAAGATTTTGATAAATCTCGAGGCAAGAATCCAATAGCTACGGTATCTAGAGTTTGTGTAAACGTAATGTTGAAGCTGCAGCGGCTTCTGATCGGTAGCTCAAGTTCCCGCTAAACCCAATATTATTGGAGGGTGGAGACGTAGCCGCGTTCTCTCTCCCGAGACGGCTTTCAGGGATATTACGCGACCGATATCGACGTATCCTATAGCGCCGGCGCCACCCACGAAAAGAGGGAGATACAGAGGTGCACAGAAAGAGAAACAGAGATAAAGGGTCGAGCCAGAGAGAGGGAGAGTTCTGTTCCAGCATCTCTCGTACTCGACTCTTTCCGTCTCAGTGCGAGGATGGACCGGCGTTGCGACGCTACGCGTCGTCGACTCTTGTCGAGTACACGGATCGTCGGCCAATAATCAGAAGAAAAAAATTAAAAAAAAAAAAAAGGAAAAAAATAAACAAAAAAAAGAGACCAAAAAGCAGGAGGGAACATGTAACGGTTTCGTGATACACTCGCAAACAAGCAAATCACAAAAGTCTTCCATTAGCGTGTAGATTATTATATACATACATATATATTATATATTATATGTTTTAATTTAATCGTAAGTGATCAATCGGCGTGTAATGTGTAATTTAAGGTACGTAGATTGAATTCGAAAAAAGAAGCGAAAGTCTCTCGTGCTCGTGTATTAATTCAATCTCCATTGAAATTTACGCACATGTTTCGTACGAATACGCGCATCTATTATAAAATTTGCTAAATCAAGAAACCTATTGGGAAAGAATAAAAGGATAAAAGGAAATTCGAAAATTCCAACGCACGCGAGAAGATTTAACAGAAGAGCATAAAAATCTCCACGTGTCTTGAATTACGAAAGAAGAGAAATCAGAACAATTTAAATGGGATCCGAAATTTTTCTACGATAAGAAATCCATGTGTCTCCAGGTCGATAAATCGACATTAATGAAATAAGACGTCTTGCTTCTCTACGCACTCGGTGTGCATAAGTTGAAGTCTGGCGACTATAGTGTGCCTGATACAAAGTCTTCCTTAATGTGTAAGCTAGAATAAAATTACGATATATTCCTATATTCTTACACGAATCACTAAGATATATCTATATCTATACAATATACATACGTATTATTAATTATATAAAAACTTATAAAGAGAAGTTTCGAAGAAACAGTTTTAAGAGGAAATACTTGCGAAAAGTTTTAGAGAAATCAACGCCAAGCAGATTAATTTGCCAAATAATAAGCAAAAGGTTATTGATTGGTTTCAACGACGATTACTGTTGGGAGAAACAATCGATCAAACGACGAGAAATTTTCCTCGACGAACAAGGAAAGATAGGAACAGAGAGAAAGAGAAAGAATTCAGAGACGAAAAGTGACGTTTTCATCATCGCCGCCGGATGATTGTTCTCGGTAGGATAGCAGAATCTGTGAATACGGTGCTGGTGTAATCGGGGGAGGAAGCCATTACCTTCGCCTCCAGCCCTCATCCCCCTTCCGGCCGCCTAACTATCAAAGCCTGGCTCGAGAAAGGGATTAAGCTGCATCGGAACTACTCGTACGCCCGTCGCCCGACCGGCAGAGCTCCTTAGCGTAAATTAGCGGCCGATCGTGCTTAATGCTCATCTAATTACCCGGCCGTAAATTATTCAAGCCCATAGTTTGTCCTCCAGAGGTTGCCACTGGCTGGCCAAGCAAATTATTCGATAAATGAGATGAAATTTATTGGCAAGCGTATTGAGGGAACGCGTGGCACATTATTGTAAATCTTCTCAGAAATCTTATAATAAAAAAAAAAAAAAAAAAAAAAAAAAAGAAGAAGAAATCTTATAATATGTTACGTCTGGCAATCTGGAGACATTTATGCACGTACAGAGTATGAAGGGAGCTTGGAACAATTATCAAGATGTATTTCAATAAAGGGATCAAAAAGAAAAAAATTGATTACAACAGAAGAGAGAATTCGCCGTAACATTGAAATCTCAATTATATGTATATATTATTCGTTGAAAAAATCGAGGAGAAGGAGAAACTTTTCTATCGAGGATTCCTTCGAAACGAGGAATGACCATGTCTGTGACGGTAGCTCCTTTGAAACCAGCTCGTGGACGAGGTCCGGCTGATGGCCGTGCATTTTTCGAAACACTCTGGAGAGGGAATTTTTTCTTGGACAGGCAGAAGGTGATGAAACGATCGCGAAAACGAAAATTACAAGCGGCAAATGGAAAAAAGCGTGCACAGCTGCAGATGCGGCAGCATTGTTGCTGCTGTCAGCGCATACAACTCCACCTCCTCGCCGGACGGCGAAGCAACATGCGCTCCGTTGTTAGGTGAATTTGTCATTTCAAACAGTATTTCAATCCTTTCTTTCGTGTATTAAGCATATAATGTTTCCCCGTTAAACAATATGTTTTTGTAGTTGACTTTTTCACTCGTGTCTTTTTAAGCTACAATCTTATTTTAATAATTTAATAATTAACTTTTTATTGGGACGAACGATGTATTTTTTGCTGGCTTACTTTTTACTAAATTTATGAAAATGTCTTTCTGACGTAGAGTTTCTTTAATTTATGAATTTCTATTTAATTTAATTAAATTTCCATGGAAAATGAAATGAATTATTGGAGGAACCCTTTAAAACGTAAATCTTTTATTGAAACTGAAAATTAGTTCTTTTCTTTAAATTTCAAGATTTCAATAATTTTCGTAAAAGCTTAGAACGATTTCATTGAAAAATCTGAATTAACTTCCGCCCAATGTCCGTGGGAAAGTAGAAGTAGTCAATAACTGAAGAAACTAGGTTTCTCTGACCGCAGATTATCGTTTCTACTTGTATATGGACATTCGATACCTCCGTACAGTTTGATAGAATCTAAGAAAGTATTTCTTTGCCATGTTTTTTCAAACATTGAAATAAATATGCTTGTTCATTTTCTCAAGCTTCAACTAGAAAGTTAATGATTCTTAAAAATTTTCTACAAAAATTCTAAAGACGATAATTTTAATAAATTTAAAATATTAATAAATACGATCGACGAAAAATCAAAAGAGCAAACGCTCTCTTTGAGTTCTGTTTGGGGATGACTCATATGTTGATCCCCAATTCCTCGCGAAAGGGAAACATTTTCCTGTAAACAACTGTCACCCTTTAACACGCCATGAACGTCAAAAGTAACCACCTTTACTACGTACGTGCAACAAAGGAAAAGAAAAAGAAAGATAAAATATTTTATCCAATAATTAAAAAAATGAATTCATTTCTATCCTGAAGAAAAAGAAGCTATTTACAAAATACTTAATCCTCGAAACAACTCGTCAAATATATTATTCAACTCGGCCATGCACAATGAGAGAAACGGTGTAAAAAGAAAATTATGAAATATCTAATTTTGTAAAAGCTATTGCCAAAAGCTTACGTTACATTGTTACGAATAAAATCAAATTCTGTATCGAACGAGCCTGCTAAAGGATGACAAAAATCGGATAAAAAAAAAAAAAAAAAAAAAAAAAATAAAAAGGAGGAAAGAGGATAAAAATTATTCGGCCGTTTGATCTTCGTTTAGCGGCACTTGGCGAGTGGTTGGCTGCTGAATTCGAGCGTGTAGCGAGCGAGTAGTGGCGCGAAAGGGATAGCAGAAAAGAGAACAGCTGGATTGTATTGATCCGCGCTCGAGCGTTGGCGTAGGGGTGGCTCGGCCGACCCCGGCCTCGCTTGCTGCTTTTCACTCGCAGGGTAGAAGAGGGGCCGCCTCGATTTCTCCTCCGGTATAGTCTCTCTCTTCGGTGTTATGTCACTGCTTTGCCGCATTGTCCGGACGGTTCCATCGATGTTCGCCAAGGCTACAACCGGGCAACACGCCGTCCATCTCGCTACACGCTCGATGGATCGTCGCGTAATTCCGCAGAATTAAAACTGGCCCAGCAAGCGCGATTGTTACCGCGCGACGATGACGGTGAAAATTTCAACGCGGTACGAATTTCCCTCATTGCATCCCTTCATCGCCGCGCGATCGAGATTCGATTAGAATATCGAAATAGGTCATGCTACCTGTTTTCCGCCCCTTCCTCCTCGACTGTGTGTTTATTTTTATTCTACAGCACAGTTTCACCTCATCGGATTTTTCTTCTTAACTTGTGGTAAAAATCTCGATAGCTTGACGAAAGGAGAACGTTTCTTTAGATTGGAGATATTACTGTGTGATTTTTGACACGAGTAGATATGATGGCCACGTGTTTCTACGTTTACGTACGAACTTTCGTGGTGTGCGTCCGATGCACCGGGTCAATGTGTTCGCATATGGTTCAGTAGACAAAGTTCTCCAAGTGCCTCTCAGTGATTACCGAGTGATTGTTAACATCTGACGAAAGTGCTTCTTCTCTCTTCAGTTCAGAGATTTTTTACTAGATTCTTAAAATCGATAACGACCTTCATTATCGATCGTTGTGTTATTCATTGCTTGGATCGCGAGTAATTTTTTACGTGGTACAAAATAACTTTGTCATTAAATTTGCTATTTATTTATTCGTCTGGGACAATAAACATGATGGGAAGTGACAATGCAACGTGTACGTTTTTCTTGCAGTGTAAGAGAGACGCACCAGATCGCCGAGGCGCAGCAAGAGAAAAATGCAAAGCTACGCGAGGCATTTGGGATATCGGAGTTCTTCGTAGAGGGAAGTAGCCTAGATCCGGAGAGGCACGCACGTGAGGCGGAGGCAAGAGCGGCGGCGAGCAAAGTGTATGAATTAGTACGGACCCCGAGTCCAGCACCGGACACCACGTCCGTCCCGGAGAAGAAAAAACGAAAACGGTCCGGTAGTGCAATTAAAAAGAAAAAGGGAAAGAAGCATAAGAAGGAAAGGTAAAAGACAACGTAATGGTGCACGGGTCAATGGAGGCTGGATTCGATGTTTTGATTTATCCGCCAATATAAAGATAGATAATGAGATAATGTAAGTGCAGACGAAGAGAATTGTTGTAGTTATATCTACTACATTGTACTATGGTGTATTAAGAAATTGGATATATATATATATATATATATATATATATATCCAACATATATACTGTATACTATAGCGTAGCAGTAGTACTATAACAGTATACTACAGCATACTATATAGTATGGTAGTAATAAGATAGCGGTATCATTTTGTTTGTTATATTATAGTGCAATGTAATGATATACATGTTATGTGTGGCTCGACTTATTTAAGCTGAGAATTCGTATCGTTGTATGTGAGAGAAAATGTACACGAATCCAGGCTCCAAGACCGAACGAACATCCCCCCGTAGTAGCTCCTCTCCTGACCCCCCGGTTAATTATTCATTTACCGCAAGTTCCACACTCGTTCATTTGCTTACTACACACCTCTTGTCAGATACTGACTCATGACTCACCTACTATTTCATGTCCCATACACCTTTCTCTGTTTCAAACAGAACTGAGGAGGACTGAGTGCCTACCCAGTAGGCTCAGTAGGTAAGTGTGGTCGTCGCGTCTACTTTCCAAAAAAAAAAAATTAAAATTTTTAAAAATTAAAAAATTACACTCGAGAAAAATAAGAAACGATGTAAAATATCTGTATTGAGAAAAGAAAAGAAAAGAAAAGAAAAAAGAAAGAAAAGAAAAGACTAATCGAGACTAATGTAATTAGGTATTTGTTTTAATAGGCATAATGGAGGGTAAATGTTTGCTATATTGCTGGAATTCCTGTAACATTGACAATTAGCAATTAGCAAGACTTTCATTGGATATAATATAATGATGTCAAACACAGTGGGCAAACATTTACTTGCTTTGATATTATACAAAATATACGGGTTTAAAGAAAAAAAAAAAAAAAAAAAAAAAAAA